GTTTTTTTGCCTCTGGTGTTGTTTTCTTGGCGATAACCATAATGGTGGTCGAGTAGATCATGTTGTGCGGGGTCGAGAACCCTCACTCCGCGCAAGGGGGATGATCGCACCACGTTGTGTTAAAATGGTCAAGCACCCTCGAGGCAGTTACACAGTGTTGACAACTGTCTCTGGAAGTGAAAGCACCAGAAAATATGTCAAGTCATACGCAGCTGTCATCCGTACGCAAGGAAGTACGCACAAGATGCCGAACACCCTTAGCAGGATGCAGCGCACCCTTCATGCGACTCGCCGAATATCTCACGGCGCTTCGCGCTTGGTGATGTGAGAGCCTGGTCCGGTGAGAACCCGGCGTGCTCCGTCCCGGCTTTGTAGGGATGCGAGGTCAATGGTCTAACGACTTCGGCATGCACGAGTATGAGTACACCCCCCCCCCTCCCCACCGTGATTTCGCGAAGCTCTCCTCTGGAGGACGCGAGGTCAACGGTCTACCAACTCGGGCTTAAAGCATGAGTAGCACTGGTTGGGCAAAGCATGTAGATGGCGAGTACCACTACAGGGGACAGAGCTCCAAGACGAAAGTCGACATGAGGGCGGCATTCATGTCGATAAGGGGAATACATTCGTTGTTCAACGCCTTCTCGGCCTATGGCCAATCTCGTTCCTGTCCCTTCATTTCCTTAATGATTTCCCCGCAGGTCCGACCAATCAGCATCGAGACGGGCCTGCTTCCCAGGACGCACGGTTCGTGTCTCTTCACAAGAGGGGATACTCAGGTGCTTGGTCCTTGTTTGTTTATTTCCTTTGTGTAACACGAGTCTGGGGTTCACCCTAAAACCCTGACCCTAACCCTAAACCTCTCTATCCACAGGTGAGAGTTTGGGAAAAAACTGGTAATGAACCCATGTATACATATGGGTTCATGTTCGCCCCGTCTGTTGTTGGTGTCAGTCTACACCTTTCGATTTATGTACTTGGTGCATCACACAGGAGGAAGGTTCCCTCCGCCTTTACTGCAGTGCTCTTGTGTTTTTCGCGACTCTCCGCTTTTCACTATTTGGCGAGAGTTTAGTTCACTCCCTCTGCCTGAAATGTCTGCTGCTGAAAACATCAACATTGATGCGAAACCTTCCGAATTTCTGTTTTTTTCCAATTCGGTTCACGTTGACCCTCGTGTTTTGCCGCCTTCACTGCTACCTACCAGTATCGCCATCAGGTATTGGCGCCTGTGCACTTATGGTCCGATGTGAAACTCGTGGCACGAAAGCGGGTCAGCACTCTGCTACCGTTAAACGGACGTTGTGCTGCCGCTGCCCCTGCCCCTGCTGCTGCTGCTGCTGCTGCTGCTATTGTTCGTTTTGATGGAACACCCGTTTCACAAGGCCATCGCAACGGTAACCCTCGGGGGCTCAGGTTCGAGCCAGAAGACCGACGGCATCACTGGCATGATCTTGAAGCACTTCTACCTGCAGTATACGTTCCCGCCCAGCTGCGTGGGAGAGGTGAGGGGCATGATCTCGTCGTTATTTTTTGCTTGTTTTTGATCGTTTCTCCACAATGTCAGTCATTGGCCGTGTTTCTTGCATGTTTTTTTTTTTTCTTTGTGTCCTTTGGGCGAGAGTTGTTCTTTTCATTTGACCTGTGCTCTGTGTGTAGCTTTATCCTTCGTCCCGTGTACCCGCTCTGCCAGACTTCTTGAGTGTGTTGTCGCTTGTTTTTTCTGGTATCGTCTTTGTTATGTGCTGCCCGAGGCTTGCGCCGGTGTTCTTCTCGTGCCTGATGTCGGAGGTTTTCTCCATATTTCGGCTCGTGTCCTTGCTGGTGTCGGTCGAGTCGCTTTGCCCTCCAGAATGCACCGTTCTTCATCGTTCACTGTCTCGCGCCAGCGGTCCTGGCTCTTTGTTTTGCCCCACACGCAGAATCGATATAACCCTTCCTTTCCACAACTCTCTCCCGTGTAGTCCGTGTCGTGTGCATCAGTCGTCGGCGAAAGAGCACCCAACGTGACCTCATTGCCACCACTGCCGTCACCACCACCCCCAACGACGACGACCACAACAACGGTAATTTCATTGCCACCTCCAATTCGCGGGCTAAGACATGCACTCCCACCTCAGTTTTCGGATGCCAAGAGCACATGTACGGCCACCGCCGAGCACCGACGATAACGAAGCAACCGGGCACCAACCAGGATGTATGTGTGTGTGTGTGTGTGTGTGTGTGTTTTCTTTTTTTTCTCAGACGGGCCGAATCGGCGGCCCCGGCCGCCGCGAGGTGGGCCACGGCGCTCTTGCAGAGAAAGCCCTTTCCTACACCGTACCCGCCGTGGTGAGTCAGTCGAGTGAACGTCGACGTCGGGCGTATCTGTATCTGTGCAAGTCGTGGTGCCAACTTGTGGCCTCGTGGACGAGATGTATTTATTTTTGGCATGGTGTATGCTACCTTTTGGTCTCTCTCTCGCGGCTTTCGTGTGGTTGTAAGCTAGGTCTCTTGGGTACCGGTGTATATTTGGGCACCTTCTTTGGTCTCGTGTGCGCCTCTTTTTTTGTTTTGGTCGGACTTTTGGCTGGTATTCAGCAAAAGTATCGTTGAAGCGTTGGGCTTGATGATGATTTTTTGCTTGGGAGTAACAATTAGCCCCATTCACTCCATGATGGCACTTGTTGTTGTCTTCTCTCTTGTGTGGATCGTCTCCCTCTCCCTGGTGTATTTGTTTTTGCTTGACCTGTTGACTTTTGAAATGCGCCTTTTCTGTCCTTTTTCCCTCTCTCTTACTCTCACAATTTCTGTGCCATGGTCTTGTTGCTGTTTTTTGTGTTCATCGACCTCTGCTTTTGCACTGCCCCTCGCTTATTTTTTTTCGCGCACGCCCGCGCGCGCGCGTGCGTCGTTCTGCAGAAAGACTTCCCGTACACCATTCGGGTGGAGAGCCTCATCACCGAGAGCTGCGGGTCGAGCAGCATGGCCAGCGTCTGCGGCGGCAGCCTCGCCATGATGGACGCGGGGATCCCGGTCTCCTCTCCCATTGCGGGGGTGGCCATGGGGTACGTGCGTAGTGTGTGTGTGTGTGTCGTTTTGGGGGGGGGGGCTTCCGATGCGTCTGGTGAGCATCGTGACTATATTTGGTCACCTCGGTCTCTCTGTCTGTCTGTCTGGCGTGCTGATTGGTTGGTGTCTTGCCCGCTCTGTCTCGCTCTTTACTGTCCCAGGGTTCATTCAGACACAGAACGAGTTTTTCGAGCGTTATTACGAGCCAGCGTTATGGGTGACCCTTTATCGTTAGGAAAGAAAAACAAATGCGTGAGTAGCATGAGAGGGAGGAAAGAGGATGGCAAGCGAAGGACTGTTAGAGGAACAGCAGTCAGTGAATCGGAATATCTGGCGTGCGGACCGGCGCGTTTCCCGCCGGCGCATTGTTTTTGCAGTTCTACGGCTGTCGCCTTCCCGTGCTGCTTTGCGATACCATTTTCTGAGCACGGAACCCCCTCAGGTACTGCGGTGGTCAACACGACGTGCCTGGATGGCGTGCTTGCTCTCCCTGCTTGTCAATATTGCTGGGGTAGCTATTTCCGCCAGTACTGTAGAGGATTATTTGTGCTGAAAGAAAGAGGAGGCGGTAGCGGGGCTACAGAAGTCACAGTCACTTCAACAAGTCTGTCTATCCTTGTGGTGCACCATGCCTTCCGGCCTTATTTACTCGTTGTGCACGTTGTCTGGTGGCGCACTCTTTTGGTGCCGAGCAGGTTGCTGCTGGATGAGGAAGGCGGCAGCGGCGAGGAAGCGGTGGTGCTTACCGACATTCTCGGACTCGAGGACGCGCTCGGCACCATGGACTTCAAGGTTGCGGGCAACGAAAAGGGTGTGTTATCTTCGTAGTATCGCGAAGTGTCATCGGGGCGGGGTTGCCATCTTTCGTAGTGCCAGGAAGTGTCAATGGTGGGGTGTTATATTCCGTATTACCAGGGAAGTGGCATTGGGGGTGCTATCTTCCGTAGTATCAGGAAGCGTCATCGTAGGTGTTTCCTTCCGTATTATCTGGGAAGTGTCATGGGGGTGTTATCTTCCGTAGTATCAGGGGAGTGTCATCGTGGAGGTGCTATCTTCCGTAGTGTCAGGACGTGTCATCGAGGGTCGTGTTTGGGATATATGTCTGTGGTACTGACGGTCACGAAAACAATACCATATCGCATGTTGAGAGCACCCTCGAAATAGTGTTGCACCCCCATGCCTGTGTGGCCACCGGACAATCGCACTGCTTCGTTGTGGTGCCGAAACATCGTTACCGACACCAATTTTCGAGTGATTTTCTTTCGGGCCTGTGTTCATGTGCCCAGAGTAGTTTTTGTCGAGCGGTTTGGTACCCCACACTATGTTCGAAGCCCCTAAATACGTGTGCTTTTGAGACATTGTGTCGAAACTGATCCCTAAGATAAGCCGTCGTTCCGCTCTCCTGTTTGAGTTTTTTGTGTTTTTTTTGTAGTACTGATTGGCTGTGTTTGTAGTGAGAAAACCAGGTCTTCACCACCCCTCTCGCATGAATTGTACCATGTTTCTTTTTTTTAGGCCAAACCGATGCTTTCTGTGCCCCCCCCCCCCCCCCCCCCCCCCCCCCCCCCCCCCCCCCCCCCCCCCCCCCCCCCCCCCCCC